TTGGTTGATGAAACATAAAATATCTACTTAGGAATATTGTGCAAATTATGTGACAACTGATACCGCAAATAGCCTATGCAGCAGTTATTTTTTTTTTAATTTTTTCTTTAAATTTTTTACTTTATTTAGGGGCTTTATAGCATATATAAATTTAGTACAGAGATAAATAATAATTATTCTAGATTGGCAAGTAGGGTAGGTATATATAACACTAATTCACGCGAGAAAAACCATGGGATACAGCTAATAGTATGTGTGTGTACTTATGAATTTTGAATATAGGTTAATCCTTACTAATATTATAAATGTGAAAGTGAGTTTGTATGTTTGTTACCTTATAGCGTCTTCACGACTTAATCAATCGCTATGAAATTTGATACACACGTACAGTATGGAGAAGGATATAGGTTAAACCTATCTAAATACGATCAATAAACGAAAATTGAAACGATATTAGGAATGCTAAAATATGTAGGCACTACCTGTTCTATGTCATTCATCAAAATTCGTCAATCCGTTTGGTTGCTAACGAGCTACAGAATGATAAATGAGCATCAGGAACAATAGGTAGGCATATTCCTTTTCTAAAGCATTCATGTTGGTACTTAATTAAAGTATATTATGGAGAACAATGACATTTATCAGTTATAATGTCATTGACAGGTAATTAGATTTATGTTTAATTACGATATCCCACAGTTATATCGTTTGTATAATACATTGTATTCTGAGGAATTGTTCGAATTATAACCATAGCCACCTGGGGGGAAGGGATTGTTAGTAATGGAGACTGAGAATCCTATTGCTAGCAATATACCCAACCAAGTCGACCTCCTCGCGGTTCTCCCTGGAAACTATCATGGTTAATTCCTGATGAATTCATCATGATGGCCTAACTGGCCTGTTTTCATTCTCATCTATCACCCTTCACTGGTGCTCTGCCAGCGTATACCATTAGCGCAGGCGGGGTTACCATACCATTTTCACCCATCAAACAAAAAAAACATAGTCACCTTTTATCATCGTGCCGCTCACCATCGACAGAGAATTCATCTTTACACGCTAGAACATAAATGGTCATGTACACTGTAGTTTTAGAGAAGTTTTCTCCCGCGAATGTCCAGGCTGTGGAATGACCTCCTGTTGAGGATTTTCTTGGAGATTACAGTATTGAAGAAACCTTAATACACCCTTGATGAAGAACCCCTTCAAAAATAATGTATTAAGGTTACAGTGACCGTTTACCATCAGACTGGCTATACGCTTGTTTGCCTCCTTCGTGGTATAAAAAAAACAAGTGATTAAATTTCTGCAAGTGATTTTCTTTACTTTTGAAAAAAATTAACCAAAACGTCCCCTATAGACATGAGCAGTACCATGGACATAACAGAGTATACTGTTTAGCCCATGATACCCACCATGCGTTGCCATTCCTGAGGACTCAGGTGTTATTCCTCTGAATAGTCTTTTTGTAAATTCACTGCCATAACAAACCTTCATTACCAAATATGTTACAGCTAGAAACACAACTGCTTCACAGTTGAAACACGAATGGGATAGAGGTATCCGAGCAAACGACTTTTGTACAAAGTCTCCCACTGGTGGACATTTATGTTGTAGTTATGTGTGTATAATTTGCTCACATATGTTATAAAGTTTGACATAGATTAAAACAAAAAACGTCAGATACATTATTTCAGTTGCGCGAATAAAATAATTACCAAAATACGTGCACACAATCACATAACACACTCTAATGATCTCACTTTTAATTGCTTGTTACCCAATATACTACAATTTTAACATGATTGATTTGGTTCATATCTACTTACTTCGCAGTTTGCTAGGTCTCTTATGACTAGAAATTTATGTGCCCAATATAATGATATTGTATAATGCAATGTAGTGATGGTAAATTTCAAGTCTTGTTACGACTAAGTTTTTATCATTTTGTTTAATAAAAAAATGGGCTTCAAATGTAAAAAATAAATATAGTGTTACCTACACTATATTTATTTGTCATCAATGGACAAATAATGTAGTATAATATACGAGTACACATATATAACATCGTCAAATGTCAAATAAAGAAATCCCTCCTTCCAAAATTATTTTCTCAAGTTATTGATAGTTTATATGGTTATTATTATTATTATTTGGTCTATATATATATATATATATATATATATATATATATATATATATATATATATATATACAGTATGGTAAAAAGTCTTGTTACGTCAGTTTTTATCATTTTGTTTATAAAAAAATAGCGTATATATATAATTCTCATATTATGTTCAGCAGTGGACAGTTAATAGCTGATATAATGATGTTGATGGTGATAATATATCTTATAATAATATTATTGTAATCGTAAAAAGTATTAGTTTCCTACATTTAATACGAACACACAAAGTAAACCTTGTGTAACAGGGTTAATAATTAAATTATATTCCACAAAAGACCAACTCAATTGTGATAAAATCAGTTATTTTGATTTAAAAACTAAACTTCTAAACTGATTTTGACAAAAATTATATGGGACCAATCTGTAGTTATATCCTATTAGAGAAAAAATAATTTGTCAAATCAGTTTATAACTAACGAAGTTACGAGGTAACAAACATAAAAAATACAATCAAAGAAAAAAAAGAAGGAGGTTCTTTTTAAAGTCGGATGTCGGAAATACCGCAATATACCCAGATAATAATTACTGGATTTGGAAGTTTAATTCTTTTTATGTTGGTTAAAAACATCTGCTTTATTAGTTGCGCAATTATAGCGAAGCGTTACCAAATATATTCAGACAATTATATAGAATGTAAACATTTACACTTCACTATTGAATTCACGTAAGAACGTGATGACTCATTTAGTCTGGAAATACTATTGTGTCTCCAACATAATAGATACAAACCAATATAGAAACACATCTCTTAAAATAAGCAAATGGTTTATGGCTATTGATATAAAGCACATAAACGTTTGTATCTAGAATTTTCGTAGAACGACAGCGCCATTAGAATACGCCGGTATGTGGTTTGTCGATAGATACGCACATTAGTTTGTGTAAATTGTGAAGGAATAAAACGTGTGGTTAGTATAAAAGGATATTTATAGTCACTTCCAAGCACGTTTTATAAAGGTACACAAAAAACTAAGAATCAATTCAAAATAACTTTATTCTTTTAGGTCCATTACAGACTTTTATTTAATTATTTTAACTCAAGTGAACAATGTAATTATATGTATTACGTTCAACGGGTTTGATATCGTATGATGTTCTCTACCAGTCCGCCATTGGGCAAACAGAAAAATAGACGGTGTATTCATGAAATAAGACAACATAAATTGATATTTAACACATCTTATGAAGATTGTCTTAATCTTGAGTGAATACAGTGACTTTTAGGAAAGGCAATCTTGAGTCTAAATTAACAAATCAATTAAGAAACTAATAATAACTGGAATAAACATTTTCACGTTCACGTGTATGATTTAACCTCGAGGACAATCATAATACCTAAATTAATATGTTTTTGCATTTAGATATAATATCAATTGAAAATTGACCACAGTGTAGAATAAGAAATAGTATAGGCACGTATAGGTAACCAATAATGATCCGGCCTGTAAAAAGTTTATAAATCAAATTGAATAAAATAGACTTTTGTACGTCGGCTGAATAGATATCACAACATTTGAACATGTCTTACTTATTTTTGGCATGCGTTGTTATTTCGATTAGTATGACGGGTATAATAGTCAATTCCAAATCTGACTATAAGGAACAAAATTTTTTTTAACTGATGTTTATACTTTATCCGATACCTATTGTATATGTATACAAACAATTGTCGAAAACGTCAAAAACACAGGAAGAAAATCGTGATTAAATGTTCATATTCTGACACAGTATCAGGAGTGTCGTAGTCCATACAGTATATAGTCGAATGGGATTATGCTGTACATCGCCTGTATATATTTATTCTATAATCATACTTGTTATTACAAATTATTATATACAGCATAACAGTTTTTTTTGTATTTATTGCACAGATAACATTATATTATTCCATTGATACAGAATATTTCACTTAATTCCTTAACTTAGAGAGGTAAAATAGCAATCAAAGAAATCACAATTAAAATATTTTTTTTTAACTTAGTTATTTAATAATCGCCTGCCAAGCGTGACAAAAATAATGGCAAACCAAAGGAGGATGTTAACGTTCGGCAGTGGACAGTTATGATTATGCATTATTCATATTATGATACTGCACAGATATAAAAAATAAATTTTTAACGCAATGCAATTAATATAAATAATGTACGTGACATTTGCATAAAAAATCTTATTGGTTATATGTATATTGTTAAAAAAATACACATAGATGTTATCAGCCATGGAATCTACCGATATTTAGTTATTCTTTATAGAGAATAAAGCATCAATAGGACCTGTTACATTATTTTTCTATCTTATTTAGTATATTTAGTAAGCATAGCACTTTTTCTTTTTGAGAACACTGAATATATATTCATATTATTCCATTGTCAGTATTTTAGTTAATATCATATACCTAATCGGTATTAAAATAGTTTCAATCAAAGAAATCACAATCCGAATTGTAATTTTTTTTTATAGTTAGTTATTTAATAATAATTTAAGATATTTTTTACTTTATTTAGAAAATAATGTGTAGAACCGACGTGAATGGAATTTAATAGATTAAATTAATAATCTAACAAATCGGTTCAAAATTAAGGCAAGTAGCGTGTAATATATACTAGTTGAAGAATGAGAAGTTACTTATTACTCCTTATTTAAATCATTTGAAACTAAAACATAAAAAATCTACAATACTAAATCAATTAACAGCTAAAAATCTTTTTAATTCTAGCGATAAAAAGTCATGCCATGAGTGTTTGGTGAGTATTATTAATAATATGTAAATTATAATAACATAAAAGAATAAAAAATTAAAGCTTACTGTCTCATAGATCCCCATCGCCGGTGCGGCAGGTTCTCTTGGTGGCTATGGAAGATACAACACAAATATTGTGAGAAGCGAACAAAAAGTGCAAAATTGAAACAAAAAAACATAATTTTGTAACAATGGATAAAACTTGTAAAAAAATAAATAAAATACTTAATAATCGAAATGCATTTGCAAATGGTTTACTATTTACATACATTTTTTACTTATGTCTGAATAACATAAAAATAATAAAAAAAAATCAAAACAATATTCACACATTGCCACTTCCGAGCTCCTGAGCTGCTTTGGTCTCTGCTTTGAGCAGCTGAGCTGATTGTTTATAAAACATTTCTTAGATACCTAATAATTTATTACATGTTAAAAAATGAATAAAATAAATTAACGCTATTAGACAATTTACTAAAGTATTTTTTAATATTAAGAAATAATTAATATTATGAATTAATTTATTTATTTAAGAATCAGTATCAGTGTTTAATGGCTAATGGAGTGCTCATAACGAATACTTTGTTAGGTAAAGTCACAATTATCTGTCAATTTTAAATGAATAAAAAATATTCTATCATTTCTTACTTAATACTATATATCATACTTAATAAATAGGCGATTGGATTGAGTAGTACTCAAGAGGATTCACAACGAATATTTTGTTCAACAACATTGCAACTTTTTGTCAATAAAAAAAAAAAAAACATTTAAATATTTTTCAACGCTTCTGAATATTTTTTTAAAAAGTAGTAGTAGTGCAAAAATACTTTTATTAACTGATTCTATAAATTTAAATTTAGATTCGACAGAAATGTATTTGTAAAATTCCGAAGTAAAATATGAAGTAGGTGTAGGTTTTTAGCGGAAAAGTAAATAAAATAAAGTTTTAGTTCGCTAGTTGAATACTTTTTAATTTATATGCATTGTCTTCTATGATTAAAGCTTTTGAGTAAAGTTCGCTAGTTTCTAAATAATGAATGAGAAACAATGAAAATTTTTTATTTGTTTTTGAAAATTAATAGATAATTGTATCATTGCTATACTTCGGTAAGCAAAAGTAACGAACGGTCTTAATAATTATATTGAAATATTGAGTATGTAAATAATACAGACATAGATAAAAAATGTATATTATAAAGCATTATTATGATGTGAATATAACATATAGAAGTGTATTGTCAAACTTATTCCAGTCACACACATTTAGATTTAAATATAGATTCTGGCGATGTTATATCGTAATATATATATTTGTATGGAAAACTGTATAAACAATCTTCGTTAACATGGCACGTCTCTCCAACTTTTTACTTCAATATATGCGACCATATCGTCAAAGTCGTAGAATACTGACGGATCTTTATATGTATAATAATATTTGTCAGATCTGTCGGTATTCTACGATTATGACGATATATAGACGTGGTGTTCTGTTTATGTTTGCGAGAAAATGTTTTCAGTAGCAATCTGGTTAGAGGAATATAATATTCCTTAATCGAAACTTTTAATATATTTACTCAGACATTTTTAATTATTTGGAATTTGAAGGGAGGTGCCATGCTATCGCAGACAATCTATACAGTGTTCAATCTCATATCTCACAATTTATCGTTGCGTTTGTAATATGTATTAGTTTTTTTTTTTTTTTTAATAAAACATAAATGACGTGATTCTCAGTGAGTGAGATGTTAAAAGTATTTGTGTAATAGCGGTGAGAAAACAAGGCGGCATACCTAGGTGGGGTCCGCCTCAAACTGGTTCGCGTCCAGGAATGCCGGTTCAGATTACTGCCAGGACTCCTGGTCCCGTTCTCTACACTGTAAACAAAATAAACATTAAATGAAATATATATTATGTTTAGACGAATAAAATGAGTGTCAGAATATGTAGGGCGGGGAATTAACATATATATATACCTAGAACATTATTATAATATATTACAGTTACATTTCATCGAAGACTAATTATTTGGTAATTTAATTTTGAAAATATTCTATACCAATGTCTTTCGCATGATCAAGGTAAAGAGTATGTTCTTCTCCATTTCAAATGGTATATATATGTATGTCAAAATTTGTCACGATTGCTTGAACTGTTGAAACGCAAAGAGATAACAAATTAATAGAGCAGGTTCTGGCCTGACAAGAGAACACCAAATTCTCAGACTCAAACAAACTTCTTTGCCTCCTCCGTATAGATCAAATTCCCTGGTTATAAATATCTTATTTTGACCATATTTTTTATATATAGAATGGCAAAGAACTTAAGGGCCTAAATGATAGAAAGTGCTAATAAACATGAACAGTACTATAACTGTAGATGGACGAGAGAGCGGATTACCCCGTAAACATATGCCTAATATATACATATATTAATATATTAATATATATTATCAATTATTATTATTAATCAATGCGAGTTATGAGCAGATTTTGTTGCGCGTATCATCCCTTCTCACGCGGCTTTACTGAAATAGGTATACGCCGCACCATTCGAGAATTCGATAAAGTATAATTAAAATGGTCGTAAAAACTATGATGACTGGTTATCGATTGATGTTAGTTTGGTTGTTACTTTTGTAGTAATGGTAAAGTAATAAAATGTATTTAAACTACATCTAAACCATTATACAGGTACTGCTTCTAAATACATAGTAGGTAATGATGCACATAAAACTGAATTACAGAGACGGAAGGTTTTTAACGAGATCGTTGACCGACTTAAATTTGAAAACAATGTTACTAATACGGACACAGTAAAATTTAAGGCCACGTTGAATAAAATGTCCACTATACTAATCACTAAAGTAATTATTGCTGTCACTTAAAATATCAGTGAATATCGACTCATTCTTAGAGTGGAGACTGTACAAGCAAAATGCGTTTCACATTAGAATAAGTAGATAATTAAAGTAAGTAATTATTTTAAATAGGAAAGAAGTTGGATCTAACCCAATAAATGTAATTCTATTATAACTATACCATCTTATTTCTACTTATGCTTATACAATATTATAAAGATTTCTTATATTTTGATTTAGCCAAATTACTGAGAAGTTACGTAAAATATATCATTTCAACAATTGCAAGAGAAATACACCATTGCTCAATAAATAGCTTTTATTTTTATAAAGAAAGCAGCAATGGTATTAGAATAATTTTTATTTTTTAATAGTATTGATCTTTGCCACCTTTATACTTATATGGTGACGAAACGATATTAGTTCATTCAAAAGAAATATAATTTATTTTGCATATTTATCAGTTAATACATAAATATATACATTAATTAGTTTATTATTTAATATTATATAATAAATTGAAACTTACGTAAATACATAATTTAGAATAATGTCATGGACAAGATTTTTTATTTCACGGTTGATAAATGTTAAGTACTATGTGAATATAAGCTTTAAATAGGGATCGTATGAATGTATGTTTGGATAGGATTTCGACTGAACATCTTCTCAGCTTCAACCTTGTTATGAAAGATTTGTTTTTACGGGAATCGGGCTACTAAACATAAGCAACAAGCTTAAGCGCAGATGGCTATAGTTAATTTTAGTCTAATAGGCTATTACATGAAAATGTTGGTACGTAAGAATGTTAATGAATGAAGAATGTGTTTAAATTACGGTCGGTACAAGCAACGCTGCGAAGAAATTTCAGAATTACGTGTAAGAGCCGCGATTCTCGATACTGACACAACAATTTGTTTGATACATTCGTAAATAAATCGCAATCACTAGTATCAGAATTCCGCTAATTTGGGCTGCACGTTTATGAAAGTGATCAATTCTGTGTTTATCAATAACAATATAAATGTTACTATTTAATTAACTCCTGATGTAGAAAATATGAGTCCTCATGAGTATTGTTCTGTTGTTCCTAGTTTAGTACAGTCGATTATAAAAACCAATCATCATCATAATTTTCATGCTTTTGTCCGAATTATTTTTGGTTGGTGTAATATGATTTTATAATTGGCTTTTGGTTTTATAATCGAGCGCCTGCTTGACCTCTGGAAAATATAAAATTTTTTTTTGTTACAAATATATTTAATAAATACAAACTTGTTGGCTGGTGCATCGGCATCCCCTTCTCCATAGCACTCAAAGTTTTCCGCGTCGGAGATCGAGTTTCCGGGGCTGGAGTCTGCCGTAGGATCTGATTGTGCTGTAGACTCTGTGCCATTCTGGAATGTAGAATAGAAAACAGGGTCATACAAGTGTCCACAATGCGTCCATTAAGAAACATCTGTGTAATAGTAGACCCTATAATATTTTATATTGTATAATTGATACGATTAATACGATATATATATTCGATAAATATACATAAATATATTCGAGATAATATGTTATACTAGCGTTTTCGTTCGGTTTCGCACGGGTAGATAGAATTTTCAATAATTAAATTTCAATATGTTACTCACTGATAGAGTAGCCTTCTATATGGTATTTTTTTTTATTTCAGCTTAATAGTTTTTAACGTACAGTCAAATATTTTCTCTTTATAATATTAGTATAGTATTATATTATCTGTGGTATAGACGAGAATATACGTCATGTTTTTATTTAAATAAAACATTTGCAGTTATTAGTAATATAATATATGGTAGTTATTTAGATAATATTATCACAGAAAATACCGAGCCAGATTACATACAAGCAAAATCTCATACAAACAATAATTCGTCTCATACAATCAATGTGATGTTACATTGAATATATAAAATGCATAATATGCTCACGGGTGCCCCGAATACGTTGCCATTCCTGAGGACTACGATGTTTACGTCTTATTAAAACGAATCAAATATATTTACCTGTAATTTTCTAGGCAAGTTTCCTGGAGATGAACGTGGTGACTTGGTTCTTTGGAACACGCTGGGCGCCATCATGGCCGCCTGTGGCAACTTCAGTTCTGAAAATAAACATAAAAACATTATAACTTATTTAAAATAAAACATTTTTACAGTAATCTATTAATTTTTTCTTTTACTTTAATTTATATTGAATCAAAGGTAATAAGTTAATTAGATGGATTAATCGTAATAGAAAGATTAAAACTTTTAGGGAAGGAAGAAAATGAAATTTAGGAGAAGGGATTACGGAGTATCGCCAAACCTTTAAAATTATATATAAAAAACTTAAACATGAAATAAGTATGAGATTTTATGACAACTAAAGTTTTCCAAGGTAAGTTTTTCAATATATATAAACTTATATCTATGAATAACAATGGAGAATCTTGTAAAGATGTAGGATATACTTGTAGATGTAGGATAGGGACATAAATGATCATATCATATAAGTTATTAACTGTACACTGCTGGCCTTCCTCGTAAGGTGAAACAAATAAATAAAGATGTACAAATATTATATAATAATCGCGAAAAAATCGAACCGCATAAAAATATTGTTAATATTATATTAGTAGTTGTAGCATCTATATAAATTAAGCTATTATGAATTAATAAAATTTAATTTACATTAATTATAATGATTATGTTCTGTTCAGACATAACACTAATTCTAATATGAATACGAGATACAAAAAATGCGACTATTTATTATATTTGATAAGGCCTTACCTTACCACCTTATCACAAGTATCTAAATTTATAAATGTACTAGGTACACTGAGATGTACCATTAATGGAGTAAAAGATTTTAAATAATGTAACACTAATGGAATAAGATCAAAAATTTTAGCAAAATATGTGGTGTTTTATCCACAGAAACAGGGTGTATATCTCATAGTACTCATAGTGGTATCCTTACTGATATTATGTGAAAGCGAGTTTGTTGGTTATCATTTAGCGCTTTAATGACTAGTCCAAATGTCACGAAATTTGGGATATAAGTATTATTTGAGATGAAGAAGGGTATTGGTTACTTCTTATACCAAACAATTAATGTACTCTGGTCATGCGGACGAAATCGCAGGTTCGTTTTGTAGAACATAAAGAGGATGGCAATGATGATGATCCTATTTCTACTAGAAATTTTATAGTATAGCTGCGTATTAGCTATATACGAGTATAGATGACAGGGTCCCTTATTTTATGCTTGTAAATAAAATTTTATATTATCATGATTACACAGTATTATCACATGTTTTATGTTATAATGACAATAACAACGAAAATAATAGAGAAGTTGTGGTTATTTCTCTTAATAGAAATACTTAAAAATATGCAACATTTAGAGAAAAAAATTATCTATTTAATGTCTTACATAGCTGCAATACGTTACAATCTTTATCATCAATCGTTTTACTACTGAAAATAATATTTTTACACATAGAAAATTGAGGCAGTGGAGCTACTGTTATGATTTTGAAATACATGGAAGACTGATTTTATGACCAAATTACGTGATTGATAATTGAGATATTACATATGATAAAAGTAATATGACTCAGTCATAGGATACACTGTAATAGGTAAAGTTACAGTGTAATTAAACCTTAAATGAACTACAATTATTATAAACTTTCGCGCAGATGTTTCTAGCCTAAAGGTCATTAATAAGGTAAAGTTCAAGTGAGACTTTTAAGGCTTCGTTTTAATAAGATTAATTACTGCAGCTTTTAACTAATAGTTTAATGGATACTGTTACCTAGTATCTAATATTAATACTTTTTTTGTATATTATCCGATAATTTTCACAATTCTGGATGGATTTTGATAACTCCTTTTGTATCGATGGTGTTTACAATATGGGTGTATTGGTCTTACTTTAGTTTTGTCACATTTGTTCCTTACAGAGCAAAATCTAAAATAAAATTATTTATAAGTTCTACTGCCTACCATAAATAAACTGTTGCAGAAATCTCCAGTAACAGACCATCAATCTTCCTAACAACAGCAAGGTCTCCCACCATGTTTCCAATATGCGCAAAACTTCGAGGGTGTCGCTCTTCACAACCACAATCACTTTAGACATCGATGCCACCATTGGGTATCACATTATATGTATTTTAATCACATATATCTTATCACTAAACCTTGTGGCAGAACACCTATAATATCAGGTCAAGACTATATTTTACAGTCCTTCCTATAGTCCTTCATATATTTTACAGTATGATGTGACGAATTAACCGAAATCAAAAACGTTGGTATAACAAAAATAACTATAATGAAACATAATATTAAGTAATGACAAAATTATTTTAGGTGTAAGACTGTTGCGTTCAAACGGAAGTTCATTGCAGTTAATATTGTCTAAGTATGTCAAAACCGCCGTTATAATAGATATACATTTTAGCTATTTACTCTACCGGTGTTAGAATGTATGTAGGTATAATTTCGTAATGTATGCCATATACAGAATTTGATAAGAAACTGTGTCGCTAATTATTTGCACCGGTAAAAGCAAAGGTGCGGGTTTTTTTTTAATTAAGTGGTAGTTTAATAAAATGGCGGCTTAATTTTTTGATAAATTAAATACCTAAGTAATTTATAAGTATCATAGGATTCCTGTGTTTATAACAGCGTTTTCAGTATCTACCCTAGTAGTATAGTGTGGTAGCAAGCAAATTGTATATTTAGTTTTTTTTTCTTCTGTCCATATCCAGGTACGTTTAGAGATTATTATTCCATAATAAATTTTAAATAGGTACCTAGTATAAAACAAATTCACTGGCCGCATTTGTTTTATTCTCTGTTTACTTCTTTTAAACCATTTAACGTATTTTAATACAGGCTTCATTGCCATTTTGTGTGTATAATGCATCGTTTTTATATAAGTTGTTAATTGCACTCATGCGAACTGAAACGGGTTGATAGTTATGTCTAAGTAAGTCGTATTTAATAATAATTTTATGAATCGGAAACGGTATATGTCCGTTTCAATATAAATAATGAATGTTCGTAATTTTATATAAATTTTGCAACAATACATAAAACATTTCTTGTGCGTGAGAGTTTTACTTCGTACACGAAAATGAAATCAGAGTAAAAACATAATGACAGACTTGATATCAGTCAACGAAACCGTTCGTGGTACAAGAAACAATATCAGGTGTGAGGGTATGATTTACAGATGCTATAGTTTCACGCTCTCTGCACAGATATTTTCATAAACTTACTTAGACAAGATAATAAAGTCAATAGTAACTAAGTAGTATACTTATCTATGACAAATCTATCTGTCGTTTAGTATAACGAGTATTAATAATAAATATAGGGTAGCCAATGAATTTAATACTACATTTTAAAATATTCATCTCACGAAATGAATAATAATAATATTTTTTTTTTATAAAACAGTAACCACTCCAATTGTTTTGTATTAAAGGTACAACCACTATTTTTTTTTTATTTCAATATAGCATTTAGTGTTATTTGTACCTGCGGTATGTACCTACGAACCTAGTGTCCTAATGAAGTGTTTAAAACTTTCTACAAGAATTTTAAATCGTTTGTTTACATTAACGTTGTAATAAATTCAGTGTCTTTTATTCAATCAATTAACAAAGCAAATAGTGCATTGAAACGAGCTGTAGAGTGAGCAATCGAAACTAAATTATTGCTTCCTTGCAATTCACGTGAAACTATGTCCTGTGGTTTCTTTCAATAACATAAATAAGACAATACGTTTATATTTTATATTAATTAAAAAACATACAAATCTTAAATATAAAAAGCTACGTAATTACAAGATTTTTAATAGATAAAAATAATTAATTTCTTATAAATACAGGCAGTTACAAAAGTTTTATTGTAAATATTTAAGTAAATAATACTTTTATAAGATCCCTGTATGGTATCTTAATTTTTACATGTGTTTCTAGCTAACACAGAATCACCACTTTTGGTATACCTATCGGAGCTATTTGCGTAAATCTACTGTACTTTCACTCATAACATAACCACAAAACACATTGTCAGTATTACGACATCGTAGGTACAATTCACAAAAATATAGAACGTATGTTTCATCTCATAATATTACAAAATTCAAACTTTGCTGATATTTTCTAATATTGTACCTAAAAGCGTAGTTATTTAATTTAAATATGTTTCCTATTATATTATAATTAAAGTGCTAAAAATTGTTAATTCCCGTAATTGGACCTGAACCGGCAAAGTCCATCGATCGGTGGCAACTGCCTGCGCCCGCGCCGGTCAACTGGTTAGCAGGTACCGACGAATTATGCAACGACTGATATAAACGGCATTATTGATAACTGTACCGACAATAAATATAAAAGAACAGCTATTCTTGAAGAGATTGCCGCAAATAAGTGTAGAAATATTATAGGGGTGAATGAACTGTTAATAAAATTACCTATTGTCGATGTTAGGGATGTTGCGCATTTGATTATAATAATGTTTGTTAAATCGCTTAATTACTAAAACCTGATTATTTATTCAATATCCGTATTAATTTTTTTTTCATGCTTTTAATTATGAATTATATAAAAAGTAATAAAATACCTAATTAAAATGATCTCGTAACATTCAAGTATTATATCTGAAAGAATATAAAATCTACTTCTCAATTGACAATTGAGAAGATTCTCGATCTATCTAATCAGTCCACATGTAACCCTGCTGGGATAGGGAGAAAGGGACTGTTAGTAATGGGGATTAGCAACTATTACTAGCAATATACCCTGTCAGGTCGACCTCCTCGCGGTTCCCCTGAAAACCATCGTGATTGATTCATTGGTGAATTTGTCACGATGGGCTAACTGATCTGCTTCATTTTCACTTATCATCACTCACTGGTGCCCCGCCAGTGTATACCGATAGCGCAGGCGGGGTCACCATTCCATTATCCTTCATTAAAGAAAAAAAAATCCTGCTGGGAATAGATTTAATTTTAATAATGCCGCGTACCATAGTCCTGTATCAACTGATGCATGCTTCTCTCAGTATTATGTCATCTGATGTCTTATTGATAGTTTATTGACAATTCTCTGAAGATTCATAATTCGACTTTATTTTTTTGTGTGTAGATTGACGTCGTAACGTTACGCGACTTCTTCGCTAATTTAGTGCGATCTATCAAGCATATCATCTATGCGACGATCTAGTCCCCGCGTATTCGTGCTAAACAAAACAACAAAGCAATTCAAATTCTCGTGAGTTCTGTAATTAAACGTATTGTGTTCTAACGTGCACGATCTACAATAAAAAAAAAAAATTGATTCGAAGGCATTTCACCCAGCAGCGCGACGTTGCGCTCGCGCAAGAATCAACGGCATTTAGCCAATACCGATCCATTTGTGCATTGGCTTGGATGAAATAGAACGAAAACACACATTGGCCACATTTGCATAATTCACTGGCCTTGGAGTTTACTTTTTTTTCATTCAATACTTCAGTTCTGAGAGTTTCGCAAGCCACACCAATCGTACTCAATTGGTATTTCGATTTGTAGGTACTTATTTAATTGAAAAGTTTTCACGGTGAATTTATAACTCATAAAATTTTGAATTTGATGTGTTTACACACGCAACATACATAAGACAATCTTAGAATATTAATGTAATAGAAGGAAACTGTACTAAAGTTTTTTGGGTAGCTTTGGAATCTTAATCTTCAGGATTGACGATGCACGAATATTACGATATTACCTCCATGGTTATAGACAACTTTCCATCAGGTGTGCCATCAGTTTATTATATCCATAAGTTTCTAAATTGCTTAAGAAACTTATTTTTGCAAAAGTTGGAATTTCGAAAACATATTCATAAAAAGAAATGGAGATGCCGTAACCATAAATTTACAGAAATTAAATTGTAATTTAAAAAAAGTAAAAGTACTTACCTACCTGTATTCAGAAAACACGTGATTACATTTATGTGTTTACCGTTTATGTGTGAATATGAACTAAAGTTTAGTTCGGTCATTGTGGTAATGGTGAGGTGGTGGTGGCATCGACCTCATATTGCACAACTGGTCATCCAGCGTTGCATTCGATACATCGTTACCATTAATGTACGTTAATAATAATCTTAATACTTATTAGCTCATTCAACCATTCATTCAGGGGGGAAGGGATTGTTAGTAATGGGGAGGTTAGTCCCCATTGCTATCAATATACCCTAGCAGGTCAACTGGAGGTTGACCTGCTGTTCCCTCCGGAAACTATCGTGACTAATTTATCGTTAAATTCGTCACGATGGACTAACTGACCTGCCTTTTTATCTTCACCAATCATCCCTCACTAGTGCTCCGCCAGTGTATACCGATAGCACAGGCGGGATTACCATGCCATTATAATCCATAAAAAAAAACATTCATTCATGATAACGCACTAGGTTTTACCCGTGACTTCGTCCGCGTGACAGACATAATTTGAATAGCCGGGATAAAATGTAACCATTTACAAAATTTTTGCCTGTGTCGTCATTCTACTTTACCTTATATTTTAATAGTTTCATAATATTGGTATCATGAACCATCACAAACTGTATTTATAATAATTTTGACTTAAATTATTAGAAATTTAGATCATATTGGTTATTAGAGTAATGATTTTGCTGTGATGTCAAATAAAAAAATATAAATTTAGAGGTAGATTAAGGCGCCAAAAGGTGACAAATAAAGTCATTTTTAAGGTTTAGTATTATATACTAGTAGAAATTGTAAGAATACGTTTCTATAAATGTTTATACAGATACCTATTAGGCATAAGAGCTTCATTCAGAAAGTTTTTATTCATATAACTCAATATTCATTCAAGCTTAAAAACTTACGTAAATTTACTGAAGGATACGTACTAGTACATGCAATACTGAAATTAAATGCATGTCGACATGTGATTTACATTTGATATTAGTTGTACGCACGACTTAGTCCGTGTGACCGGAGTGCCTACCATGAAATATTTTCCGTAATTTCGAGGTTATACGGAACACAAATACAACAAAAATACAAAAAAATACATTATACATGCCATTTAAAAATATTAAAATATCGTTCCTTTGGACTATTACTCTAGGATTTACGACGAACAAAATGTTAAGCTCCATTTACTGGGCCCATTTCGGTACAAACAAATATTGTTCAATACAAAGTTGAGATAAAAAATTTGGAATTTCATTTCATAGTAAACCCCCCTGGATGTTTTGATTAATCGTATAAAATACTATGTGCATACTACGTTTTATGATGATTCCTATATGTACCAGAAAGGACTCAACATACAAAACTTTGTGGGTTAAGTTATTTCTGTTAAAATACGTTAATTTAAAATATTAGTTAGGAAATACACCTATGTCTACTTAAATCTTAAATTTGTAGTTTAAATATACAATTTAAATATACGCAATTTACATACGAATTATTGAAGCAATGATAGTTCTATAGAATTCGGGACTATTTTCGTGGACGACGAAAGCAACGGATACACTTATAAAAAGTTATGACCAATATAGAGACACCGGACGGATGTCCAATACGTGACTACGTCACTTAGGTATCAGCGATGTACCTCTAAGATTATTTATAGAGAATATCGGAGTGACTTTAGAAGAATCTCTTACCGAAATGTTCAGTCCACTTTTCCAATCCAAACAGTGTGATGCAATCTGTAATGAAGGAAAATGCAAATGTTTATTATGTATATAACAGTATTAATCTCAGATACTAGAATAGTGGCAGTTGTAAACATAAAAACACCATAAAATATCTGTACAGTAATTACTATCGATGGAATAAGTAAAACCAAATTACAAAACGCGATAAATACTATGTCTAACGTGTGTATATATATTAATCGAATCTATAATTTGGATGGATCATGATCCGCGATGATTCTATGTCTCGCAAAAGGTCAACGTAGTGTAAAATTATTGTCCGTTTGACGACTACGTCAAACGACGTTTGATGAGTCGCTACTTGTATATTTATGTGATATATTTATTGAAAGAATTTATTTAATACATTTATCTATTTAGGGTTATAGTTATATTTTATTGTTGAGTTATATAAATTTATGCCAAATTTTAATATCATAATTATAAATGTTTGTACAGATATTTGTATGTTTGTTACTCAATCGCTTTACGGCTAAACGATTTTTAATAAAAGTAAGTAAACAGGCAGATTATATTTTAATTTAACACATAGGATACTTTATATTCTGATTTACACGGCAAAGTCGTGGGAAACAGATAGTCTTTATATTTCCTGCATGTGTGTCAATTGTAGACACATCTGATTAAATATTAAACCCTATTAGGTACACTGTTTATTTAAAAGTTTGTAATTTTTTATTAAAAATTTTAACTTCCAAACTTTATGGTATTAATTAATGATTTATTGTTAGTTAACCATAAAATGTTCAACAAATTTCACTGGCATACGAATCAGATTCGATTTTAGTCACGTTCCGAATCAGAATCGATTGTTCAATTTGTATAGATCGTGCGGAAAGGCTAGCCTTTCTTTTGTTGGTTATTTTGTTACGGCAAACAAATAGTTTCTTTAACTGTTAGAATACGAGTATGATTGTAATGTAAACCGATACCGATCTAGAGCAATATTAGTAACATTGCAATTTGATATTTGTCATTCATATTAAATGCGTAATGCGTCCAGATAGTAAGCATATTGATATTAGAATTAATGCATAACTAGTTTTTCTCGCGACTTCATCTAGATAATCACGATAAAAACTAGACCATATCCTTCTTCATCCTAATTATATAGGTATCCGTGTATATGAAAGTTTATGACATTTACTTGAACTGTTCAAGTACTAAGTTTCACATTTGTCAATAAAAAAAAATACCTAAATTACATTATAATAGAGTGTAATGCACCATAATAGAAACCATAATATTTTTGTAATTTTGTCATTATAATTATCAACATGCTTGGTATTATTTGACCAGTATGTAACTATTTTAAATAATCAAGTGTACTCGTACATGTCCTACACTATATCCAACTGTAATCTAAGATTTGACTATATATGTACAAAAATGTTATATCAATTTTAAAAAGTCCACGTTTCTTTTATGCCACTTCTTCTTAGCTAAAAATGTTTGCTGAACTGGTTGGTAAATTAAAAAGAAAAATAAAACTAACACGCATAACATGAATATGGAATATGCATAATTTCGAATTTGGAATATGTAAAAGTACTAAAATACTAGATATATTCAGTATCTAATTTTTAAAAAACCAACACAAATGTATTATATAATGATTATAATGGGAGGATGTTACTAGAGATTGTTGTCAATGAAGTAAATATTCTTAACTGTAAAAGCTAGTATGCATTAACAATCTTCATTCGTAAGTGCTAAGTAAAAAGGCTAGTCGTGCAATTTGACCGGCACGTCAGTGGCGGCCTTAGTAGGAAGCAGTGTAATGGCCACACCGATTGGTTATTTACGCTCCAAGAACTAACTGTGGTAGTTAAGTACGTACCAGTTACAATGAGATCGCTCTAATTCACAATGTAGAAGAAATGCCTATGTTATTTAATGTTTTGCTATCGATAAATGGAACCGTGGAATTTTCTGAATTTTATATCTTATATCGTCATAGTCGTAGAATACTGACGGAGATATATAATTCCCTACTGTTCCCAATATTCGGCAAACGTACACGGACTTTTATTTATCCATTGCAATTCTATTATTTTTTTATGACAAAATAGTAGGTTAGTATTGTATTTCCACCGCGAAACAAACCATAAGTAATTGAAAATGGTAGATTATATAAACTTGTAATCAATGACATTGCACATGCATAGTATTATGAGGTAGATTTCTTACATTAGATATTTATCAGAAAAAGAGTGAGTTTTGTACTCGTAAACAATTTGTCTTATTTTTTAAATATAATAGTACAAACATATTTTCGTATCATTACTTCAACTACTCCATCATCCACTGCTGAATACAGGTTTTTCCCATTTTCGTCATAAATTCTGAGATCGTCATTCTACCATTCCCACAGGATGGCTTTACACAGCGTTTGCTTGTACGAGGCCCTCACCGTTTATCGGGTTGGTTGATAGTCTTCTTATCTTACTAATATAAAAAGGTGTAACTATACGACGTCTCTATATGGGGGATATTTAAGAAAAAACAATATTTGAGGTCTTGATAAGATTAATAGAAATTTTGTCTGACTGTCTGTTTGTTCCGGTATCACGCAAAATTTACAGCACCAAATGGAATGTAGTATTCGCAGTAGTATTCCGGAAGATAAACTAACTTAAAATCTGGTATATGTTTTATTTTAATACCACTTCTAGATGAGTGGTAAATTTTATTGGTTTTACTACTTATAAACACCACGTTTACGAAGTAACGGGAAAAAAGCTAGTAGCATAAAAAAGAAATAATATAACTATAAATACTCGGACATATGTGGAATGTGGAAACTTTATCGAGTCGTTTGCTTTCTAAATAATTGTGTGTGGTGGTTTGACATTGATCTATAAATAGTTGGAAAGTGTCTATTGTAGACGTAATGGTTTTATGAAATCAATATAATGTACTAATCAATGCCCAAGCCTCCGATGGTAATATATTGGTTTATTTTTCTTTGGTAGGCTGAATTATTAAAACACAAATGTGAAAATCAGCCAGGCGAAGTTTAGGTTTTATAATTGTAAAAAGATTGAATTTTGGATATTTATTCAACATTGAAATTTAAATACAGTATATAATAACCAAAACTGAATAATGGTAGCTTGACAGATTGGTCGAATTGTTTACACACATCACATTTATTAGAAACTAAGGATCCAAACAGCGACAAATTGGAATAGTGTCTATGTTTTTTTTTTTTTGTAACATGGCAGTAGTTTTAATATGTTTTAGGTACTTTTTAGATTTAATTGTATAAAAATATTTTTGATAAGATTTTACTTGTTTGTCTATGAACATGTATCCATACAATAAGGATTTTTTAATTTAAGCAATTACCGAAAGATTCCCATTTCGCCCCTATGTCCTTTTGTGTTTATTTTATGCGAAATCTCCTCCAATTTTGAACAGATTTTCATAATTCTCTTTGCGATCGATAGGGTTTACTAACATATATATATATATATATATATATATATATATATATATATATATATATATATATATATATATATATATATATATATATATTAATATTGTCTATCAAGTCGCTCGCCAAAATTTTTAAAACTGTAAAATTCTGTTAATTATATAAAGGTGACCCTGTAGCTTTATCTTTTGCCTAGACTTCAAGGTATTAATATTAATTGCTTCGGTTAGAACAAGAATAGAACGGCACGCCTACGGTAATCGAAATGTGCCTTATTGGGTCTAAACCTCGATCCACGGATACAATGACTCGACATGTGTGTCATGAGGATTAGTCATACCTATAGTAAAATCAGCTTAAATTACTATCACGTGTAGGAGTGATTTTAGATAATGACATGTCTTTAGCAACTACCTACTATTTGTATTTAATTAAGTACTTGGTAAGCTTTATTATTTAATCAAAAGTATAAAGACCATGTTACATGTGCGTGTATGATGCAATTTGGTTTAAATTGACTCAGATCTGGATGTTCTTATTTGACTAGTTACATTGTATTCTCCAAATACTATTTATCTTGTTATTTTAGAATTTGTTATTTCCTTATTTATATATGTACCAAATTATGTCGGTTTGTCTGGTTGTTGTTTTTGAGCAAAACATATCTCCATAAGTCTGTATATTTTTGGTTCTTCTTGACAAGATACATAGAATATATAATTAGGGAGAACTATATATGAGAAATTAAGATTGTGTTCCACTAAAAAAAACTGACTTCAATTGTAACAAAACCAGTTATTTTAACTTAAACATTAAACCACTGAACCAATTTTGTAAAAATTTATATGGGACCAATCTGTAAGTACATATATCTTTTCAGATAAAAAGAACCAAATCGGTTTACTACTGACGGCGTTATGAGGTGAGAAATTTAAAAAAAAAATGAATAGCTCCATCTTTTTGAAGTCGGTTGAAAAGACTATAAACAAGATAAATTGTATATAATACTAGGCATTTAGGTTTTAGAATTTGACTATCCAATTATTTAGCACTAAAGAGAAATCGAGGTTTTCCCTTCTATGGTTAATCGAGTCAGCTATGTGATGAAATCGAGAATGACCTAGCAAGTCTTTTAAATGACAAATCTTGGATTTTATTTCTCCGATACATTTACTATATTAGCTGATAAGTTCTATTGGCTAACAGTTTCTTGTCTAACCGCATGATGTATATATTCACATTTGTTGGCATTCCACAGCCAACAGAACATGAACCGAGAAGGAAGGATCTGATCTATAAATCTTTTGAGCTCAAACACATTAATATATTATCAACCGAAGTGGCATGGTTATATTTAGTGAGTCTGAATAAAATTTCATGTAAAACTTTTAATTCAATAAATTTTAATTTTATCTGAAATGTATTAAAATTGAGATAATAAAACAGCATAATATTCACATAGATTTTAAATAGAAACCAGTTAGATATCACAATTTGTAAAATGACATAGAAAGATGAAGCCAGTTCTCCATTCTATTTTTGTCATGTG